TGTTGTGAGGGGTGCGACGAAAAAGGTTCCAAGTGGGTTGACGTTCGAAGGGCAAGGCGCGGGGGCCGAGTGGCCTGTGGACAAGCAGTGGCCGACCAGACCACTCCACTTTGCAAACTATGGGTTTACTCTTGCGGCAACGGTGTCGATCCACGAGGTGCCGACGGGCATTACTCCCCTGATGGGCCTGAAAAGAATGGGGAAGACAACACTCCTGGGACTCTCGTACGATAAGAATATGGAGTGGAGCGTGGAGCATGACTTCTTCCCGAAGCATTTTACCGCATGGGAGGTGGACAAGACGTATCACGTGGTGCTCAAAATGCATGACGGTGTGGGCTCCGTGTACGTTGACGGGACTCTCCTTTGGAATATGAGTCTGAGAAATTCGTTCAATGAAGGGCTGGACACGGTCTCGCACTTTTACTTTGGCGCGTACGATGAGCAGTTGAGCAGCGGAAAAATTCATGCGACGGTGGCGAACGTCTTTCTGTACAACCGCCCGTTGAATGAAACTGAGATTGGCGCCCTCAACGCGAATAAAGTCAGCATTCCACCTCCGGAAAGGAAGCCGGCGAAAGAGGTGGCAGCTACTTCCCCGCCCGTTGAACCTGCCAACGATACGGTGACCACAAATGCACAAGCAACTGCGCCAGCACCCACTCCTGCCGGACCACAGCCGACGGATCAAGCAACCTTGGATGCGAGCAGTGTTCCGAGTGGTGGCGCTCCATCCGCAACAGCGCGAGGTCGAGCCCAGCAGAGCCCAAACAAGCGGCGTCGAGCCCAGCAGAGCCCGAACAAGCGGCGTCGAGCCCAGCAGAGCCCGAACAAGCGGCATCGAGCCCAGCAGAGCCCGAACAAGCGGCGTCGAGCCCAGCAGAGCCCAAAACAACCCAATTCTCTGTGGGCACCCCCGACGCAGCAAATGCAGCAACACACAACGCTGAGGGCAAGGGACAAGAAGGGCTCCATCCACAGGTCAAGGAAGCAGAGGCGGCAACACCCAGTAGCAGCCTTTTAAATTCGTCGCAGTGGGATAACAGCGTCGCTGGCACTATGCGTGAGAGCGGACTGCTGCTGCTGCTTCTTCTGCTGGGGCTGTGGGGGTTTGCGGCTGCGTGAGGAGTGTGCGGCCTTGGTGTTGGACACTTTCGCCATCCTCCGCACAGGCACAAACACACCGCTAGGAATAACGTTCACCTTTCAAACAACAATTTCTTTTTTCATTTAGAACTTTCCTTCTTTTTTTTTCTGCAACCACCATGGGCGTTTTTTTTTTGGCTTAAAATTTTTTTTCTTTTCTGTTTGGAGTATAATTTCTTATGTTTTTTATGTTTGTTTTTAATTATTTTTGTTTTGCTTTTATAAAAAACTTTTATTTCTATTTTTCCTTTTTTGCTCCACTTTTTCCTTATCTTTTTGCTTTTGGGGGCAATCACTGTGGACGTGTTTTCTTTTCTACTCTTCCCTCTTTTAATTGTTTGTTGCTGCACTCTTCCTGTGAGGGGTGCCGTGTGTTCCCGCCCAACTGCTCCACTCGCACACCACCGACACGCTCACGACGACGGCCCTGTGCGCCTCGCCTGCTGCACGCATGAGGAGGGGCCGCGACGGACGGCGCGCTGAGGGAGCCGTGACGTGTGGGCGTGCGACGAGGGCCTGTGGGGCGGAGCACACATTTCCTTCCCTCTTGTTTTTTGTTTTCTTGCAGCCAGGGCGGGCCGACACCCGCGGCGCCACACACACAGCCACACCCTGCCGCCGTGTTTTTAAGATTTCTTTTTTCTTTTGCTGCGCTCACTCTCCCGATGGAGTGCCGCGACCGCCGTCATGTCTGCGTGCTTCTCTCAGTCCCCACACACACACGAGTGACTGTGCTCTGCGGGCCGCACTCACGCGCCGATGGGAGGGCTGAGGGGAGCAGCAACACGCAGATGGCCCCATGAAATATAAACGATGTGCGGACACACGGAGGGTCAGACGGTTGAAAGACATTTAAATATCTAATTTTTAATGTGCGGGCAAAATATACAAACAGTTTGGTGGGCGCACACGGCAGCCGGGTGAATTTTTGTGTGATGGGTTTTTTTTTCTTTTTTTCTTTTTTTCTTTTTTATTATTTGTGTGTAGCCGTAATAGAGGACGACTTTTTTCAAATTTTTTTTTTTTTATTATCTTTTTTATTTTTCTTTTTTTATCTTTTCTTGTTTTCTTTTTTATTTCCAGAGCGTGAGGTGTGGAATGGTGAAGATGATTTTTTTTTTTAATTTAATAAATTTTTTATGAATTGCCGCTGCTTTGGTCTGCAGTGCAATATCATGAGTTTGGGCAGTCCTGTTATTTCCGCCATGCACTTCTGCTGTACATTTTTGTTTGTGGGTCTTTTCACATGCTCTGCTCCTGTTTTTACTTCTTTGCCTCGTGTGTCCGCAGGCACACACAACCACACACACACAAGATGCACATTGCAGTGGATTTGGATGCTTCTTTTGTAGTGCATGCTGGCGGTTGCGTGTGGTGGCTGTTGTCTTCTTCCGTGGCCATGAGGAGGAGGGGAAGAGAGGGAGCGCACCCCGAGTCTATTTTCCTGCGGGTGTGATGCGCGCGGTGGGCTGCGACTGCTGTGGAGGGCCGCATCCTTTCGGTGTGCGCTTCTCCGCCGTCGTGCCGTGCGTTTCGCATGTCATTTGTTGTGCGTGTGTGCGTGCTGGACATGTGTTTCCGGAGCGTTGGGCGGCCACCACCATTCTTTTGCGGTTTGTGTGAGTGGGCACGTGCGGATGAGGTTCAGGGCGTATGGAATGAAGGAATGGCTTGAGGAAAGGGGAATTTGATTTGGAGGGTATTTGGACCGGATTCACTTGGCTGCGGTGGCCACATGCACGATGGATGTGTTTCCGCATAATGGGGGAGGATGCGACAGGATTTTCCGAAGTGGCCCGTCAATGCAGTTTGGGTTTTATAGCACTGGGGCACAGTGGTCTTCCTGCAATGGCTGATGACGGCCTCTAGTGGACCGGTGTATTTATGCTGCTGCTGCTGCTCGAGGAGGCGTAGAAGTGCGATTTGAGGTGAGCGGCGGAGGGGCCGCACATCCCGCAGTGATGGTCGTCGTTGGCCCACCGGGTGCCTCTGAAGGTTTTGTTGGATGCAACGTCCTTATGCCCGTCTTTGGATGGCGACATCCCTGATGCAGCCAACGAACGGGGCTGGGAGCGACGGTGAGACGCAAGCACGTGTGGATGTTTGGAGCGGCCGGCGCACCGCACGCTGAGCGCATGGCACGGTGAGGACCGGACCTAGAAAAGGGACACCGCGTGGGACGTCAATCTTCCCTGCAGCAACCGCCACCGAATTCGGATTTGCTCGCACCTTCTGCGGTCCCTCTTCTTCCC